AGCTAGCAAGAAAATGTCTCGAAGTGATGATGGGTTAACCGAGCTTGTACAGGAGATAAGTAAGTTCGGTGTTGCATACCGAGAAACTGCCAAAGAAATTAAGGATATTACTGTTTTATTGAAAAAAGAGGCAGAAGGAAATGATAGAAGAATGTCGATTTTCACTGAAATCATGAAAATTGAAGGATTGTCCACTGATGAAATGCTTACTGCATGAGAGTATATGAGCAAAGATGCGCACAAGGTAGATTTCTTTTTTTTCTTTGCCAAAAGAATTCAAGCAAGATTATGTGATTAAGCAATTGGTTGAATGCCGTCAATTTAGACCATCATTTTGACCGTCGTCCTTCTACAATTATGTCGATCTCTTTTTTATTATGACTTTAGAATATGGTCCCAATTTTTTTGTATAGCTTAGCCAAGTATATGTCAATCTTTTGACTTGAAGAATTTTGTGTGTATATAATATAGCCAACATATATGATTACGTTTAGAATGTCATGGCTATTATCTTTTGTAAGTCTGAACATTGTATAATCTTTTGATGGTTAATGTTATACTTTTTTTTGTTATGTAGTATATGAGTTGCAAGTAATGTGTTAGTTTTCGAGCATTTACTGCATCAAGTTTTAAATATTGCCCACTGACGACTTTTTAATTTGTGCAACTCCAAAGCATCGGTCACAGTAGCAGCATCAAGTGCACCAGGTAGATCTTGTTCATTAAAACAAAGTATTTGGGAAATAACATCTCCAATATGGCCTGCAGGCCAACCAGATAACCACGGGATCAAAATGAAATTCAATGGTTCAATTGTAAGTTAACGTTAATAAATTAGAAGCATGATCTGGGAACTGAGTTAAATACAAATCAGATTAGGATTGAGTATTATTGGGTTGCTTGCTTTTCGTAATCAAGAGTTAAGTACAAATTAGATTAGGACTGAGTATTAATAATTTTATTAAAATATTAGCAAAGATAATGATGAATGACGGTGAAATATAAAATTATAAACAATATGATATTTTAGTGTTATATTTTCTTACTTATTTGAATTATGTTTTTGTAATATAAATTAATGAGATAAATAATAATGATAAATTATGTAGAATTAAATATAAATATAAAAGATAAATAAATAAATTATTGTATATAGAAGATATAATAAATATTATATCTTAGATAAAAAAAATAATTTACATATTTTTATTATTATGAATATCTATGAAGAATTTCCACAATATAAACATTTAGTTAAATGTTGATATAAAATTTTAATATATTTTTACATAAATTATGTAAAATTTAATATTAATTAAAATTAAAATAATACATGATATATTTAAATACTCAAGTAATATATTATCAATAAATAGAATTTTTATATAATTTTTTTATTTAAATATTTAGAATTTCACTTGTTAAAAAAACAAATATAGAACAAGAACAATTTGGTAAAATACATTATAGTAATCTTTTATTTCTCCAACCAAACACTGTAATCTTACATTCATGCCAAACCAACCAAACACAGTAATGTAACATTCCCAGCAATCATATTCCCTGGTAATCTTTTATTCCCATTGGTAATCTTACATTCCGTGAACCAAACACACCCTAAGCATTAGGGTAATTTCACTTGATAAAATATTTTTAACTTATAACATTTTTTATGTCAAGATAATGAAAATATTAAGTATTCTAGCAAATATATCCTTATTAGTTCAACATTAAATCAAATACATAAATGTACACGGCATATGCATGAGTATAAGTATACCCTAAACCCACTCCCTTATGATAAAATATATATTAGTTACTAGACGTAGATTACTTGTAATACACGATGGATTAATGATAAAGTGTCAATTGTTTACATATTACTACTCATGATTTGATTTGAAAAAAATGGATTGTTCAATAACTTAAGGGATAACCATTGCACATGGTTGATACATAATTGATTTATTATTTGGTAATTATAAATTCACAAGGCATTCTATAAATGATGCCTTGCTTTTATTAAGTTTGAAATCAAAGGAAATCACTAGTTAAAAATAACATCCATATAATATTCATACACAAGAGTTAAGATAGATAAAAATAGTTTCACTAATTAATAAAGGAAATTAAATAGAATTTTGTTGGGTGGAATGAGATACCAGATTCTTCAAGTAAAATTAGGAGTTTGGATTCTCACATTTGCGAGTAGAGTAAATTGAGTTGGGAGGGTTACCCCGTAATTAGGGTTGGGCATGGGTCAGGTTTTTAGTCCACCCGACCCGAGAACAAGGAATCCTCCACCCGAGACCCGAACCCGACTTGATATATAACTTAAAAACCCGACCCGAAATAAAAAAAATTATTTTTGTTCAATAAAAATAATGACTTAATTGAAAAAATAATATATAGAGGGGTATTACTGTAATTATTTCTAAATATATAAGGTAAAATTATATATTTTTTTCGGGTCGGGTCGGTCATGTATTTTTACCCTATACTCGAACCCGACCAACCCGAACCCGATTTTTTTTTAAAAAAAATTCGACCCGATCGGGTCGGGTTCGGGTCCCATGCCATCCCTACCCGTAATGAACATCTATAAAACTCATTCAAACTAATAGATCAATAGATCATACACAAATAGTTAAGATAAAAAAATTGTAGATAATAGTGAGATTTTCCACAAATGAAAATTACTTAATTTTATGAATAACATTCTCTCAAACTTTTCCCTATATATTTACATTTTCGAATGGGTGCAAAGGGAGGTTTCCAAATAATCTTTCTAAGGTAGGCAAGCACAAAAGCTCAAATTTATACTAAGAAATAGGGGTCAGTAAAACTCGACTCGACCCGAAAAATCGATTTTTTTCAACTCTATTCGAATTGACTTCAAGTTGTAATTTCATAAACTCGACTCAAATCGAAAAATTTCAAATTCAAATTGAGTTGTAAAATACAACTCGAATAACTCATAATTTTTAATAATTAGTAGATTAATTTTCAAGTTTGAGTCGAAATATGAGTCGAGTCTCTCGATTTTGTATAGTATATATAAACTACATGGGAAAAAATATGAAAAAAATATATATGTATTTTATACTGTTATAAAATAACATTTAAATTGGAATAAAATAATGTCATAATATTGTAAATATTTACAATTAAATTTAAATATAAACTCGAAAATTTGACTTGACTCAACTCGACTCAATAAAATTTCAAGTCAACTCCGTGTTATAAAATAAGACTCATCAACTCGAATAACTTAAATTTTTTTGACTCGACTCGATCGAACACTCACCCCTACTAAGAATGTTTATAATTTGGTTTAATTGATTAATTTATTTTAATCTATCAAAATTGAATTCAATTTTTTTTATTATGGGGTAAGTATAAGGCATTATTTGTTCAAAGATAACTCTCAACCTCTCAACATTGAACGCTAACACTCCTAGCATCTATGTACTTTTGTTTTTTAATTTGTTGAATACTTATTCTTTTATTGATTCAAGATATATAAATTGTTAAATTTTTTTATATTCAAGTCTCGTTAATATTTAATAATATTATTCAATTGGGCTGATTACTTTTTTTGTTGTTGTAAAATATGAAAAATGAATTATGAAAAAAATAAACTTAATTAATTTAGTAGAGTGTAAAAGATGTTTGTTTTATGTAAATCATTTTACAAATAATGTTTTCTTCATTTTTCTAGTATTTAGTTAGTGTAAAATATACTAGTCCATGTAATTCATTTTCTCAAAATGATTTCTTTTGTATTTTTTTAAAAGTGTTTTATGTTCTAATTTATCATAAAATAAATTTTAAAAATTTCATTTTAAAACATAGGTACTAAAAATAATAATATTTTAAATATTTAATAATAATATAATTATTTTAATATCATTTTTATAAAAATGTAATGATTAAAATATTTAAAATATAATTAATAATATATTTTAATAATGTTATGAGTTTGAATAGTAAAACTTTTCTATTTAGGTCTAATATAAAACAAGTGTCTAAATTGTATTATTATTTTTATTTAAGTGTCTAAACTATTTTTCAGTCAATATATCCAGGTATTTAACGTTACAAAGTTACTATTTTAAGTGCATCGGTTGTAAGGCCAGTTAAAAATTTCCATTAAGTGATACGTGTCACATTTATATAATTTTAGCAATTTTATTTAAAAATATTAGTATATTTTGAAAAACCCTATTTTCTCTATAACTACAAAAAAAAAACTTAATTCCCTAAAAATCTCTAAAATCATCCCTAAATCCTTAACCCTATCCTTGATTTCTCCCTTGTCAGCAATGACCATTGTCGTCGTCGTCATCTTTGCCATCTTCCTTGTCAGTCGTCGTTGTCCTTATCGTCGGAGTCGTCGGGTTGCTTCAATTTCACGATTTTGGGATTATTGTTTTTCGGGTTTAAATTATCAATTGTGAGCTCTTCGAGGGGTTGTATCATTGGTGGAGGTTCGATCGACGACAAAGGACAACCAACATGGGTGTATGGATTGAAATTAAGATTTTCAAAGTTTTTGGGAGTTTTTTAAGGTTTCCAAAAGTTTGGGATTTTTAAAATTATTATTTTAAATAAAATTTTTAAAATTACATAAATGTGACATGTGTCTTTTAACGGAATTTTATAACAATCTTTAAGGTTAAAATATTTAAAACGATAAAATTTGTAACAATAAAAATCTATATTGAATAATAATAATAATTTAGGCCCCTAAATAAATGAATAAAAGTATAATTTAAATAATTTTTTTTGTATTAGGCCTTCTTTTTATAATATGTACGTGTATTATAATGATTTGGTTGTGCCAAAATTATGCTAGTTGTAGAGAAACATTTCATTGTCCCGATTCCAAATTTATTTCCAATAATGATAAATGAATCGTAAATTCACAGCTCAAACACACGTTTTTGTACTCTTAAAAATATACCATATATATATATCACACGGATGTTAATATATACATATTCACTGAAACTCAACAATTCCAAACAATGCCTCGTAAACTCCCCACTACCATCACCATCTTCCTTATTCTCTTCTGCATTTTTCTCCTCGCTTCCTATTCTCTCATCCTCTCTCGCTCCGCCGTATCTTCTTCACCGGCGGAGCTCCGGTTCCGTCCCCTGAACCTCACCGCTTGGTACAAGGACTCGGATTCTTTCAACAATGTCATTAGAGAAGGTATAAGCGATCGCACCCACCGAGCTCGACTCGTTACTTCTATTCAACGCCCCGTCGATTCTTTTTCCGTTCTTTTACCTAACTGGGAAGTCCTTGTTCTCGTATCTAATGAAAATCAACAGACCTCAAAGCTCCGCGATAGTGGTTTATATTGCCTTTTCCCAAGAAACGAGACTTGTCCGGCAAATTTCTCCGGTTTGTTTCTCTTCAGCGGCGCCGTGGCGTTCAAGTGCATTCTACCGAACCGGAATCGTAGAGACCGGCCGTTTCGTCAGCCTGTGCTCTCGAGGTTGCCGGGGAAGGAATCGAATGCAACGTGTTCTTCACCGGTGATGCCGCGGTGGGACTTCTTGGCGTACGAGTGTTTCTCCACCGAGACCGACGTGGTTGTTTTTGTTAAAGGTGTTAACAACCGTCAAGGTATCAACAAGTCCCCAGAAGAATTCAGTTGCGTATTCGGTTACGACATCAAGAACGCCGTCAGAACCGCCGTTACGAGCTCCAAGCAGGAGGTATTTAGGTGCTACCATCCCACAATAAACACCTCCGCCGCTGCAGAAAGAATCAAAGTCTCAATAGAAATCAAAAGAGAAAACCTGGTCGTCCCTTCGGTTGCATACTACACTACTCCCCCCAGGCGCTCGCCACCAAACTCGAATCCCAAATCGCTATTGTGCGCCACTACCATGGTTTACAACGTGGCTAAGTTCTTAAGAGAATGGGTCACGTACTATTCCGAGATCGGTGTGGACAAGTTCATCTTATACGACAACGGCAGCGACGACGATCTCGAAAGCGTCATAAAAGGGCTCAACGAAGAAGGAAATTACAACATCGAAAGGATTTTCTGGCTTTGGCCTAAAACACAAGAAGCTGGATTTTCTCACAGTGCAGTTTATTTCAAAGATTCATGCACGTGGATGATGTATGTCGATGTCGATGAGTTCATATTCTCACCATCATGGCTCAACAATTCATCTCGACCGTCGAAAACAATGCTTAAATCGTTGTTATCAACGTCATCCGATCGATCAACCGGTCAAGTTTCGATCAAGTGTAACGATTTCGGGCCGTCGGATCAGAAAACCCACCCGGCAACGGGAGTAATACAGGGATACAACTGTAGAAGACAAGCGGAGCAACGCCACAAATCGATGATTCTATTGGATGCGGTTGACCATTCGTTGCTTAACGTGATCCATCACTTTGATTTGAACGACAGTTATTACAGTTGGAAAGAGTTGCTGTTGGAGGCGGCGGTGATCAACCACTATAAGTACCAAGCGTGGCCGGAGTTCGTGTCCAAGTTTCGAAGGAGGGTATCGGCTTTCGTTGCGGATTGGAGAACGAGGGTTAACCCGATGTCGAAGGACCGGACCCCCGGGTTAGGGTTCGAACCCAACAAGCCGGACCGGTGGGAGAAAATGTTCTGTGACGTGGAAGATGAAAGGTTGAAATTGTTGACTCAGAGATGGTTCGGTTCTCAAACACCCGATGGGTTCAAAATGGCATGGCAACGGTGAACAATGCAAAGGCATAGTTATATAGGGCAGCCACATTTGTAGATTTTAATGACATTTTACTGTCCGACACCCGTAGTCTTATCCCGAGTTAAATTGAATTCTTAGACGAGACCAAATTTAAAATTATTTTTATATATTTCATCTCGAGTCTAGTAGTAGATTAATTCACCGAGCTGCATGTTTCAAATTTAAAATTTTATCAATAAATTAACTCGATTTAGTTGGAAATTCTTTATAATTTATTAATTTAACACATAAAATTTACCGAGTGTCTGATCACGGACGTACATCGATACAATGGATTTAACCTCATAATGGGTAATATTTTTTCCAATTCAGTGGTTTATATCTCTAATAGGCCAAAGGGGGAACCCGTTACCATTCAACGAGTTTCGCCTTCATTTGCTTTCAAATGACAAACTTGACTCACCCTGGCCTACGGTATACATTATGTCAAAATTATTACATTCCTATAAAGTTAATATACCCAAATGTAAGTTCTGGACGCCCATCCTTTCCCACTATGCGGTCTCTGCGACTAGGTAAAAGCTTCAAACAAATGCTGAGAAAATATGGCAAAAATGAAGTAATGTGAGAGAAATGGTTGAGAACCTCACGAAGGACAAAGTGAAAGCTGATAAAAATAAGTCGCCTGGAATTTGTGCTCTTGATTGGGTGTTCAACCATAGTTCTATATTTGTTGAAATGGACACCCCCACGGGTAAAATTCCGACATCTCAACCATCCTTCCGCTAGATTTACGAAAAATAATGTTAAAGCTGATAAAAAACCGTGCTTTCTTTTTCCTCTTGTATATCATCTGTTTTTGTGGGAGGCAGGGGCTTTGTGGCACAAGGAGTACTGCAGCATTGACCATAAGTACTGGTGGGGGAGTTAGTTTCCATGATAAATATCTTTAAAACGGTGTGTGGTTGGAGAGAACCATCAATTATCGAATCCAGAAGCTTAAGTAGACTAAATTCATGTCAAAGCAAGGAGTTTTACTGCTCAACTTATATCTTGCGAGGAATATATATAAATACATACGGGATATATTCAGTTACATAGCGTAAAATTGTTTTGTTTTACACGGCTATTAGAGGAGTGAAAATAAACGATTGAGATTAATATTAAATAGTAAAAAGATATTCGATGAAAAAGAAAACAGGGAGATAACCTCAACATCCTATTTCTACTCATTCAACGATCTTAAATTTATATAAAATTAAAAATGTTTTACATTACGTAAATGGATCTCAACTCACATATATATTTAGTTTTACACTTATTTCAGTTCGTTGGATAAGTGAAAATAGACGGTTTATATTAATACTAGATCGTTGGATCCTAAAACTCATGTTTTTAAGATAATAATTTTATATAATTCAGTGATACTTTACCTTATTTTAGTTTAAGATGAAAAATAAAAGCAACCAATTTTATAAAGCTTAAAAATAATTCTTATATTTTAAATTATTTTTTAATTTTTTATATCTTTTAAATTTTAAAAATCTAATCCCAATTCAAATGGTAAAAATATAATATAATTACATTATAGAGATTTAAAATAATTGAAAATAGGAAATAAATCTATAATATGTAAATTAATAATATATTTTGACTTAATATGTTAATAATTATTGTTTAATTAAGATCAAAATTTTAAATTTTAGAAAGTACATGCCCTGAAACAACCAAACCAGAGTATAATAAACATTGTACAAATAGTCTAAAACAATTTTATCATTTTTTATTAATTTAAGATGAATATAAAGTATTATATATATTTAAAGATAACTATAAAATATTTCACATTGAACGTTAAGACATTTAACATTTATAGTGCTCAAATGTAAAACTTTAAAATATTATAACGATTTCATGTTCGTTTAATTTGTAGTTTGACCCACTTGTGGATAGCTATTGAGGTGACCGACTTTAATTGGTTGACGTCACAAGGTTAGTGGATCCTCACCCATTAATACCGTAGAATCCCGCAGCTTTGGTTTTGTTTTGTTTTTCCTTCTCTGGGTTTTAGCCATTTGTTTTCCCAAAACCATTGAAGCAGCAGTTGCAGAGCAGTATCTTTTATAATAAACAACATAAAAGGAAGACGATGTCCGAACAAAGAAGCATAAACAAACGAAGAAATCTTCAGTTTTTTTTCTTCTTAAAATCTTGCTAATCTTTTCTCGTTTCATATTCTTATATCGTCTCCATGTGTATTGCTGCATTTATTTGGCAAGCTCATCCACTCTATCCTCTTCTTCTGCTACATAACAGAGATGAATACCACAACAGGTATCTTTTCATTTTTCACTTCAATTGTTCCTTAATATATATGTATGCATATATTGAACTATGGGAATTGTTTATGGTTGGCATTGAAGGCCTACAAAGGCATTGGCATGGTGGGATGTTGATGGCTATGAGATATTGGGAGGAAGAGATGAAGTTGCAGGAGGAACATGGCTGGCATGTTCCAGACAAGGTAGAGTAGCTTTCCTTACCAACGTGTGGGAGCTTCATCACCTTCAGCGTACCAAGAGTCGCGGAGACCTGCCTTTACGTTTCTTGAAGGTAAACCTGTATAGTTTAATCAAGCTCAATAAACATTAACGGCGGTGGATTCATTAAATATAACAAAAACTGTTGTTGGTACAGAGCACAAAGAGCCCCATGGAATTTGCCGAGCAAATGATGGTGGATGCTCATCGATACAATGGATTTAACCTCATAGTGGCTGATATTCCATCCAAATCAATGGTTTATATCTCCAATAGGCCAATAGGAGAACCCATTACCATTCAACTTGTCTCCCCAGGTCTTCATGTACTTTCAAATGCCAAGCTTGACTCACCCTGGCCTAAGGTACGTTATACCCATAATTCATTACATTGCTATAAAGTTATACCCAAATGCAAATGCACACTTGTACCTTTCTCGGATTTTGTTGCAAGTCTCACCTCTTTTACCACTCTTTTACGCATATCAAAGCTTTTGAAAGGATTCTTCTGTCGATCCAAGTATTTGGAGTTCTATATTCTTCATCTAATTAATCTCTTGACATGATCACTATTAATTTACATGATACGTCAAAAGTCAAATTTGCTATCTAAAAACTATATTTATATGACCATACAGTATTAATAATACAGTCTATTAATAACCAGCTTACCCTAGACTTAACATCGCTACTAATGATCAATATATAAATCACCATTTTTCCAACAAGTGTCACAACCACAATTTTTCCATCAATAACATTGGAGCATTGATACATCTCTTCCCTCTGTGCAGGCTGTCCGATTAGGTCAACGCTTCAAACAAATGCTGAATAAGTATGGCAGAAAAGAAGTAATGGTGAAAGAAATGGTTGAGAAACTAATGAAGGACAGAGTCAAAGCTGATAAAAGCAAATTACCAGGCATTTGTGCTCTCGACTGGGAGTTCAACCATAGCTCTATATTCGTTGAAGTGGACACCCCACGGGTAAAATTCCAAGTTCTAAACCATTCTTGTACTAGGTTTATGAAGAAAAAAACCAATGTTAAATCTGATAAAAAAAAAGTATAATCTTTTTCCCTGCTCTAACATCTGATTTTTGGGACACAGGGGCTTTGTGGCACGAGGAGTACTGCAGCATTGACCATACGTGCTGGTGGGGAAGTTAGCTTTTATGATAAATATCTTGAAAAGGATATGTGGTTTGAGAGAACAATCAACTATCTCATCCAGAAAAAAACTAGGGATTGTACTACTCAACTTACTTATTTGTGTATGTTATAAGCATGTAATGATTTTATTAATGGCGTGCCGTTGTATGCTTTATACTGTAATATGTACAAAACTAAAGACAAATTGCAGGGAAGAGTTAAATTTTGCGAGAAACAGACTACTGCATTCTAAGTTTGGTGTCGATTACTATTTGCAGATCGGAACTCCGACCCAATTGCATCTCTGATAGAGAATTCAAAATTATCTTTCAGGGCCAAATGAGAGCTTGTCAATTGTTACTACTCCTCTCTGATAGAGAAATAAAAATTATAATTTGAATCATCTGCTCCATCATCATTCTAAGTTTTTTCTAGCATCATTGCAATCATATTCACCATGCTCAAAAACTTTATCGTCATTCCATCCAAATCTCAAACATCGTTGTTTACCACTATAATGATAAATTTTGGATGAACAGAACGAGTGTGAACTAATCAATTCCAACATTTAATAGTTCAAAAAAAGTAATATAAGTTTTAAAAAGTCAACGACTAATATGCGAACACTATAAAAGTATAAGGTCCGTTAATATAATTTACCCTTTATTATGTGGAGTCGCATATCGGCTAATTGACTTCATACTTTCGTGTAGAACATTGGTTGTTTGAAAAAGTTAAACCGTTGACTTTAGTGGAAACGTTCGGTTTACATCCACCGTCAACCAGAAAAATAATTAAAGCATGTCAATCATGATATAGATAATCCTGATTGCTTGAACATTTGTTTCACACCGACAATGCAAATCAATAAAATTAAAAGCCAATACAGTTAAACAAATAATTCTCCCTAGATCGGGAAATTAACATAAAACGAGCGGCATCCACAACATAAATAGAAAAAGTAGAAACAAATTGCATTCCAGAAAAAAAGTAAAATCATCAAACTGGAAATAAGAACAAGCATATTCTAATTGGAAATTAGAATTCCAATTAGAAGATTAATTCTCTACAAAAGGATTCATCTAAGACATTAAACTTTTAATCAAGTACGTATAGCAGTAGATATCCAATCTAGAGCCTATTTAATTTTCTAAAAGTCAAAAGAAACCATCAGGATTCTGAGGTACATTTCTCCCTTTAGATGGTGTGGCATCCAAGAGAATTAACACGGAAAACATCAAAGCATTAACATAAGATTTTGATCAAAAACTATCACAGCCTACATTGATCAAACACTATCCCAAGGATTCATCCCTACTCATCATCATCTTCCTGCTGGCATTGAATGGGAACGAATTCAGTAAGTCAACCTATAGCAAACCCATAATCAAATAACAAAATAACTGAAATATTGAAAACTCACATCTTCACTGCCTTCCTCATCATCCTCATCGTCATTCACCTCCGACACAGACTTCTCAGATTCCACATCTTCATCTTTGGGTCCCTCAGCCTGGAAAATTCGTCAATTATTAGCCACGTTGATTAAAGAACCTTAAAAACACAAATGGATTATTTACCTGTCTCTTGTTGTAAGCTTTCATGTTCTTTTCATACTCAGCCTTCCGTTTCTCAGCCTTGGCCACATAAGGAGCCTTTTCCTGAAAATAATGAATTAAATTCAATCATAAAACATATTTACGCATACATGTTTTGAAAGTCCTAAACGAGACAAATAAATTCATACAGTCTCAGATAAACTCTTCCATTTGTCACCTCCAGCTTTGCCAACCTAAAATAGCAACAAATTTAATTAAGTTACAAGAATAACATAACATTTGGCTACAGACAAATACATAAAATGTATTTGTGACACTTACAGCAGCAACGGATTTGTTTTTAGGGTGTTCCTTCTTGTATTGCTCACGGAAATCCTCCCTAAAATACAAAACGTAACATTAATTAGATAAGACAAAACGTAACATAAAAATAAACGAAACACGAGAAAACCAGCAGAGAATCGTTAATGACACGTAATAGAGCTGTAGGACGGGAGAAAAAGGCGAAATTACATGAACACAAAGAAGGCGCTAGCAGGTCTCTTTGGCTTGTTTGGATCCTTGGCAGCCTTGCCCGATTTCTTTCCGGCTTTGGATTTCACGTTGAGCCTAGCAACAAATCCAAAATAAAAAAAACAATTAATATCAACCAATAAAAATTTCGCAACTCCCATCTAGATCTCGTATCTCATAAAACGCGATCTGGGAACGATAAACAAAAAAAACGAAAAGAATGAAGACACAAAACTCACTTGGCGCTCTTCATCTCTGACTTAGATTTTCCTCCCTTCATATTGAATCCTACAAATAAAAACCTCATATCAGTGAACAATTCGAGATATTCCGTCGAAAAAACGACGACAATCGCCAAAAATCATGGGAAATCGACGGGAACATACCTGGTTAGGGAGAGGTAGGGTTAGGGTTAAAAGAGACACAAAAGAGGGGAAACAAAGAGAGAGAAAAAGGAAGGGATTGAGGAGCTAGTTGAGAGAGTGTGGTGCGAAAGGCGGAGATATTAAGTTGAGGTGCAAATTGAAATTCAATTGCGCACGAAATTAAAATCGGGGGGTTTAGGCGGGATTTGGATATTTCATGCCACGTCATCGATCCGTGTCCTTTTACTGGATTGGCTGCGTAGCTCCTAAGCTTAGGCCTCTCCCAGATTCACCTCTTGCACTTCTGTGTTTCCTTTGTGCTTCTTTGCTCTCACTGAGGTCTTTGGTTCCTCTTTTCTCCTTTTCTTTTGTTGACGCGCGTAACGGGTTAATTTGGTAAATTACTGCCCCTGTCGCCTTAAATGTTATAAATATATTTATATTTCATAAATTATATTTTAATATTGAAATTTTTATTTCTATTCCATTTTAATATTTTATTTTTATTTTTCTATTTTTTTATAAAACTTTTAGTTTACGCTTCATTTCTAATATTTCATTTTGAGATCTTATTTCTTATTGCTCAAAATAAGCAAATATAATAGTTTGTATGCAAACCCTTTAATTTTTTAAAAGAGAAAAATCGTTATATTCTAATATCATTATTTAGTATAACAGACTTAATAAATTCAGGTTCGACAATAATAAAATCAATACGGATTAGATCTCGACAATGCCCACTAAATCAAAGTGTGGACTACTCGATTCATCTCGTGATTGACGTAAAAGATTTTAAGGTCACGAATCCTCAATAACAATGGGCGAACTTTGTTGAGCAACAATGAGAAGATTGAGACACTCTCACTTTGACTAGAAAGCTTGTACACTATAGAAATGACCATCCAGCTCAGTTGATAGAGCACAAGGTTCTTAACCTTGAGGTCGTGGGATCGAGTCCCACGGAGGGCATTTCATAATTCGGAGGTTTTTTACGGAAGCTACTCTCAACCTGGTGTTGGGGGTAGCCTACTATCTTACCTCCCCTTACCCCATACATATGGGAAAAAGAGACAGCCATTTATTCTCAATAGCGAACTTGATCCCTTGTGTGGAGGCTATCACCTCTGTTGATTCCACTGTGAAATGTGAGTCGATTCGTAGGAACATACCCCCTAGTACCAATGCGTTGTGTGAGTCGATGACTCCAATTGCAGCAGTGGCATTAGATAGCTGAAACGCCTCGTCCACATTTATCTTGACCGAGTTTAGGTTATGGTGACTCCACATATGTGACTATGTCAATTTCTGTTCGTAGGGGGGAAAGGCTTTTAATGAAGCTGGCTTCATTAAACTTTATGCACAATCCTCATGCAGCAACCACCACATCTCTATCTTCTTGTAGCTCTTTATCATGCAACCATTTGTAATTGTCCTTTCGATTCTAAACATTCCAAATAAGTGCAATGAACTTGAAGGGACTCTCTATATCCAGCCCGGAGATGGCCCATTCTTAGTCGTTCCTTACAGGAGCTTCCTTGCCGGTTAATGATGAAGCCACTGAGCCCAAAAATTTGTAAGACATATCTAGTTTTTGAGCACTTATTTAACGCATGTAGCAATGTTTCTATTTTGCTGCCACACATGGGACACATCCCTTCATATAGTCGTGCATTTCTCATTCCCCCCCCCCCCCCCACGCCGAAAGATATTGTCACTCAATAGGTTAGTACATTACTAATGTGGAGATATAAACAATTTCTTTACATTATAACATTTATCAATATTATTTTTTATGATTTAATTATTATTTCTAAAATTTAAACTTAAATTTATAATGTAGTATATTCAACGACATACGTAAGATTTTATGTTAAAAGAAACGAACTTATAAATTTTAAAGAAATAATAACTTATAAAATTTTAAAAAATATAAATATAAATATAACAAAAAATATAAAAATATATATAAAATTAATTTTTTTTATAAAAATATCATTCCTATTTCTCTATCCATCCATGAATATTTGAATGCACCCATCACTAGGGATGGGAATGGGGCCTGAACCTGACGGGTTCCGACCCAATTCGACACGATTGGATTAGTTTTTTTTTTTTAAAAAAAAATTGGGTTCGGGTTGGATTCAGGTTTAGGGTGAAAATACCCGATCCGACCCTATCTGAAAAAAATATAAATTTACTTTATATATTTAGGAATATTTATAATAATACCCATCTCTATATATATATTTTCCAATTAATATATTATTTTTATTTAATAAAAATAATATTTTTTATTATTTCAGGTCAGTTTTTAAGTTATATTTCGAGTTGGATTCGGGTATTGTTTTGATCAGGTCGAATTAGATCTCGAATGGAAGATTTATTATTTTCAGGTTGGGTTGGGTGGACCAAAAACCCGACCCATTACTGATTGGTTTATCTGTCGTTTAATTATCTATTTAGTCAATTTTTATTTGATATGCACGCATAGCCTTTTATATTATCGTTTTCTCATCGATAAAGTAACAATGTGGCAGGCCGGACAAAGGCAAGTCGGGGGACTCAATAGCTCATGACCACACAAGGGATAGCTCCGGACTTCAAGAACAAAAAGCCCAAAACAAACAAAAACAACATAATAGAGAAAACAAAAACCAAAAGAAAATACATTTCGTTAATATAACGTTAAAAATGATAAAATTAATTACAATTAAAATTTTTATTTTTTAGATTGTATATAATAACCTTTTAGGTTAAATAAGTTTCAACCAAAACTACTATTTTTCTTGTAATATTTTTAATTATAAGTTCTAAATCCTGTAATATAACTTTACGGTTATAATAAAAATATTATGAATTTAAATAACTTTTAAAATAAACCAAAATAATATTTTAAATTAAAACCATCTTGAATTGAATTATTTCATTATAAAACTACAGAGAAGCCAAACGAGAAAGAAAACAAAATCTATACACGATGGCAAAACCATAAAATTGAAGGTTGTAAACACATGGATCATGCACTCTTTCGAAGAGGGTTCTATGTAGCATGAATATTTTATTCAAACTCGATAAGTTTCAACCTCATTTGATTATATTGGTATTTTATTTTTAAACTTTGAGTTTAAATGAGATGAGATAATGTTAGTATTAAAAAATCTGACTCAATTCAACATAATATTATAATTATATGTTATATATTTAGAGATAATTGTAATAATATTTATTTTTTTAAATTATATATTTATTTTATCATTTAAATCATGATAATTCGTAATTCTATGCAATGATGGACCGAAGGTTCTATGCACACCTTGGTCCCCTGAGTTTAGTCCCTCTCAAATATAAATAATTTTATTGAATACTTGTAGCCTATTAGTTAAATGGGAAATTTACATTTTCTGAACCATTTAAAAGTTTTCCAAAAATAAAATAAAGAAATAAATTTGATCTTATTATTATTATTTTTTAATTGGGGAACTAAAATTCAATATGACAGAAATACCAAGCTGCCATAATCAGACACAAAGTTGATTCAGATCTCTCTCTAAAATCTGCCAATTTATGCAGTTTTTCGCTCCCTTAATTGCTCAATTTTCTAATCATCTTTACCCATGCTACTAATTACCATCTTTGCTGCCGCTTCTTCCTCGATAAATTGAAGCTGAGATTTTCAATGGTGGAATATTTTCCGATAAAATAAAAAAAATAAGAAATATAGAGAAAATGGAGTGGGAAAATCAAGAACTCCAACAAGCGGAAAAGTATTTGCAATACCAAATCCAGAATAGGGTTTGCGGTAAAGTGATGACCGATGAACAGGTAGAGGAATTGAGGAAACAGATCGTCGCCTACGCTTCAATTACTGAGCAACTCGCTGAGTTGCACAAATCCATGTCCCCCACCACGATTTCACTGGTTTTTCCCCTTCACTGCTCTTCCTTGCTTCATTTGTTCTTATTCTCTTCGCGGATTATTCGGTTTCTTTTATATCGGGTTCAGGAATAAGATTGGGGAATCTATACTGTGATCCAGTGTCAGCCTCGATTTGCCAGAAGATCACCGCAAGACAACGATGGACTCCAACGGCAGTGCAGCTTCAGATTCTGGAGAATATGTACGAGCAAGGACCGGGAGTCCGAGTAAACAGAAAATCAAGGAGATAGCATCTGAACTTGCCCAACACGGTCAGATTTCCGAAACGAATGTGTATAATTGGTTTCAGAATCGCCGTGCTCGTTCAAAAAGAAAGTTACATGCACCAGCGGGTTCCGTCAATGGAGAAGCTGTGGCGCGTTCGGAAGATGCCGGTACGAAAGATAAGAGGACGAAACCAGTAAGTTCGGGCTTCAATGATAACATTGCAAACGGGGTTGAAAGTTTCTATTTCCAGAATTCCGATACAGGTACTAGGTAGTATTATTCCATTACAATTTTTTTTTTTGCATCAACATCTTCATTGTTTTTCCATGTGAGCAGCGATTGATCAGTTGATTGGGAAAGTGGAATCGGCACGAAGCTATGATTTTTACTCTAATCTTGTCGAACAGTTTGGCTTGCTCGGATGATTTACTGACGAATTCAAGGGAGACGAAAATTTATTTAATGTAAAATATATTTAAATATTTTGTTTTAAGAAAAATTATCTTAAGAGATACAAAATTTGTTTTAAAGGAAATAATCTCAAGATAAATAAAATTTGTTTCAATAGAAACTGTTTCAAGAGAGACAAAATTTTATTTTGAGTAAATTAGCCTCAAGCGAGTCGACCTTTGTTTTTGAGAGAAACAATCTCAACGGTGCTCGATAATCTACTTGATCCTGCATGTTAAAGAAATCCTATCAGAAATTTTAATTGTTGACTTAAGGAAGTCAAATATGTGGGTGACATGTTTGCTGTGACACTAAATTACTTCATCGGACACGTTATCCTTCTTCGTGAAGTTAAAATCGTGTATGACTCATTTGCTGTTAAATTTAGCTTTTAATTGGATGTCATTTGTTGTAAAGTTGAAATCTAAGGGTTATATATTTCGAGTATAATATATTTCGCTGTGAAGTTGAAATTGACTCTGAATGAAACTGAAAAGTTGTTTGTTGACAGTTGTCCTTTCGCTGTGAAGTTGAACAACTATCATCAATTTTTGAATGTGCTTTTGAATCAAGTATCTTTCATCTTGAAGTTGAGACTTGACTCAAAAAGTTACAAAAAATTATATATGCTAAAAATGATAGATGCAATGCTCTTAAGTATATCTAAGATAAGATGCATGCAACATGAAGTTGAAATTTAAATATATTTTATATTAAACAAAATCTTGTCGATCAATTCTTCCTTTTCTAATACCGAACCGTCGGATTAAAGTTTAGGAAGAGGTAATTTAGCCGATGACATTGTTAATAATATTATTTTTGCTTATACTAAGATATTACGTAGTTACGTGCTTGGTTTACTTGTTAACAAGATCAGTTTAAAGCTTTTCATATTTTGTACTGAACCATGGATATTCATAATTTACTTATATTTAGCAATTAATGCAATAACATACAACCACTGCCAAATAATTCTCAATTCATCATTATTTATAATTTTTTTTAATAATACGAAGTTATTATGAGTTAATATTAGTTCATAATTATTTTAATCAATTAATAATGCATATACTTACAAACATAACTGTTTAAATTTAAAAATTTTAAAAAAATAATATTCTCTTTTATCATTAAAATTAGAGAAAATAACTTCAGTGATAAAAAATGTCTTATAATATACGATTTTAACAAACTTTTTTTGGATTTGCCAAAATGACAAACGAATACTATCTTTTTAGAGAAAATTCTTAAGAAACAAATGCAATACCACCAGTCGTTGCGATTTTGGACTATCGCAACACGAACTTCGACTATTGCAACGAATTTGGAATAAATCGCAACGCGAACTTCGACTATCGCAACGCGAACTTGGACTATCGCAACGAATTTGGAATAAATCACAACGCGAACTTGGACTATCGCAACGAATTTGGAAAATCGCATTGTAATAGTCGAAGATCGCGTTGCGATAGTCGATGTTCGCGTTGCAAATATGGAAACTGATTTGCGATATCGGAGATCGCGTTACGAATTATCGATTGCATTGCGATTTAGTTGGTCATTTTGACAAATCTAAAAAAAATTGATTAAAATCATATATTATAAGGCATTTTTGACCACTGAAGTTATTTTCTCTTAAAATTATTATATGAAGTCATCCTTATCTACATTTTATTTTAGGATATAATAATGAATTAATTATTCAACGGTATAAAAATTCAGCAAAAGTTAAAAGTCTTTAACTAGATTCTCTTCCGACCGAGGTAAGTGGCAAATAATCCCGAAAATGGGAGTGTGTCTTCGAATTTGCTCTTTATAATAGTACAATTTACTTTGTACAATGTAACGATCTAAGACAATTTGCACTTTGGGTTTTGGGCTTATGTAGAACTATTGGTTACAGTCTCCGTTCATGGCGATTTCGGGAGGCAGCCCAAGCCCACGTCATCTCTGTCTTCGATTGTCTCTCCTGTTTAACCCATTTCTTAATGATTCAGCCAGCGATGATTTAAAGCTCTGTCCCTTACCTCTCCTCGATCAAAGCACCAAAGCACCAAATCCCATTTTATATCCACTGTCTCTTTGATTCTGTACACTTTTTTGGGTTCGAATTGTATTTCATATTTTTTTAGATTCAACTGTTTCGATTCTTTTGGAACCCGTGTTTGTTTTCTCGTCTACTGTGAGTTTGTGATCTGGTTCTGGATTTTATTTTCCAAGTAGAGTTTACACAGTTACTTCCGAATCTGCTTCCATTAATTGTTTTGGGGCGTTTAGATGGCGGTGCAAAATCATGATCAATTCGAAGCTTACTTCAGGAAAGCAGATTTAGATGGAGATGGCAGAATTAGTGGAGCTGAGGCTGTTGCTTTCTTTCAAGGATCCGGTTTGTCCAAACAAGTCCTCGCGCAGGTCCCTCTATCCATCTCTCACATTTCATTTCCTATTAGAATCGGGATTTCTAGGAACTTGCCTACTCCGTATATGGGTTAGATTGCATTTGGTTGTAACATGGTGTAATTTCTCAATAAACGTAAACATTTTGCAGCTGTTTTTCTTTTGAACAATTACCCAGTTGCTTCATCAGGTTTCAACCAACTTGTCGTTTGCTTATGTGAAATTTGTTCCTTTTACTACATCAATAATTTATCAAATGGTTAAGGTTTCGATTGTCCACTTTTTACGAGGATGTTGTTAAATACATGTCTTGTTGACTGAAGTTGCACTTGGGAGTACAACATCGTATATCCGCACTAGGAACTTATCTAGTCGTTTTGTCGCTATGTTTGATGCTTTAAAAATGTTTAAACCGGCCTTTGTTAGCTGCTGAACCAGTGGTGACAGTTAGTTTTGTTCTAGATTTTATTAATGTACTGCCTGTTACTCTTGAACAAAACTCGCATAAGAGAAAAGAGAGGCTAAGATTTGGTGGGTTGTAGATCACTGTTTGATAGAATAGAAAAATCGAAGATTTTTTTTTTAAATCTGATGAAATAACAGATGCAATGCCTTCAATCTTGCTTTACTTTCTCTAGCATTTGCTGGTGATGTGTTTTCACACTCTGAATGGCATGGTTTAGGGATTCTAAATTTTGATTTCTGGATTTTTGTGTTGGAATAGTACACATGTAACTTGTTTGAGCAAGGAATTTGATATTATGTGTTCATTCATATTGTTTTATCCTTTGGCTTCAGATATGGACATATGCTGATCAAAGCCATAGTGGTTCCCTAAGTAAGCCAGAGTTTTTTAATGCTCTCAAGCTTGTGACTGTAGCACAAAGGCGTGAATTATCACCAGACATTGTCAAGGCAGCATTATATGGTCCTGCTGCAGCAAAAATTCCAGCACCGCAAATTAATTTTCCTTCCACATCTGCACCACAAATGGGTGCAGCTATGCCAGCATCCTCTCCAAGTCCTGGGTTCAGAGGACCAGGAGCTCCAAATGCTGGTATGAGCCAGCAACATTTCCCTTCTCAACAAAACCCATCAGTTAGACCCTCAAAAACCATGCCTGCTGCTACTGCTCTGCATCCCCAAGGTATTGCAACTCCAGAATTTCCTAGGGGAGGTAGTAGTAGTACTGTTGGTCAACCTCAAGCTATGCCTGTTGGTTCTACTGCCCTTTCACATCAATCTATGCCTACTGTTTCTACTGGTCCCGGTTTCACAAATCAAAACATGTCAAGCAACTGGCTTTCTGGAAGGACTGGCGGAGCTTCAACTGGGACACGAGGGGTCACTCCATCATCAGCTTCTAAGCTTCAAACAGCAGTTTCAATGCCTTCCCAGCCTACTGCTAATGATTCTAAAGCATTGGTTATTTCTGGAAATGGGCCTGCTTCTAACTCCACATTTGGAGGTGATGCGTTTTTTGCATCCTCATTTGCACTGAAACAAGAATTATCTACACAAACCTTTTCTCCTCACAGTGCACCCTCGCTGGGGATTAGACCAGTTTCAAGTGGGCCCCAACCCATAGTTAAGTCCAACTCTCTTGACTCATTGCAAAGTGCATTGTCTATGCCTTCTGCTGGTAGTCAAAGTCAAAGGCCTTACTCTTCTTTAATCCCAGGTCAACAAGTGTATTCCCAAGGTCCGTCCTCTATTACACCATCTGGGATCTCTGTCGGAGCTGTGAATGCTGCTTCAAGCAGTTTCCAGCCTCCATGGCCAAAAATGAAACCATCTGATGTTCAGAAATATGCAAAAGTGTTCATGGAAGTGGACACCGACAGAGATGGGAAGATAACCGGTGAGCAGGCGAGGAATCTATTTTTGAGTTGGAGGCTACCTAGAGGTATGGTTGCTTCATATACTGTTATTATTCAGATAAGTTTCTGTGATACGAATGTGAAGCATGAAATAGATGGTTTTATCTGTTTAGTTTAACATTTATTTTGATTTCTTTTGCATTAGAAATAGTAAGGAATTTCACTGTCATTGTGATGCGAAAACATATATTTTTTTATCGTGCTCATGATCTGATGTCCTTTTTTTTACAATTTTTGTGAATATTATCATTATCATTTGCAGTTATATCAAATATCAAATAAAGTTTTTTTAAAAAAATTATGCTGGTAATTAAGATTTTATTCTGGTAGGTTCTGGGTAGTGAAATTACTTATTGCTGCTAGGGTGGTAAACTGATGTTACCTAGGTATTTTTTAGATGGCATCATTCCATAAATCCTTGTTTTGACTAAAATATTTTGGCATGAATCTTACTGGAGTTCTATCAGTGCAGTGTTTCTTTGAAATATTTCTGGAGTGGAGACCTTTTTTATTCGGGTAAACATGTTTAACATCGTTAATTTTGTCCTTCTCAGAGGTTTTGAAGCAGGTTTGGGACTTATCTGATCAGGATAGTGATAGTATGCTTTCTTTGAGAGAGTTCTGCTTTGCTCTTTATTTGATGGAGCGGTATAGGGAAGGCAGTCCTCTTCCATCTTCACTCCCAAGAAATGTCATGTTTGATGAGACACTCTTGTCCATGACAGGCCAACCCAATGTTTCATATGGGAATCAAGCTTGGGGCCCTAATCCTGCTGGTATTAGTTTGGATCTCTTCTATTGTCTTCAATTTTTTTAGTTCCCATTGTTGTCATCCAAGATTGCTCTTGATAAAAATGACTATTGCCATTAGGTTTTGGACAGCATCCAGGGATAGGTGCTCAGCCAGGGATAGGTGGCCATTCTGTGACTCACCCGGCTGGTTTAAAACCTCCAATTCGCCCCAATGCTTCTGCTGATACTGCTACCATGTCCAATCAACAAAAGCCAGGAACACCAGTGTTGGATGACTCCTTTGGAACTCAAGTTGATAACAATGAACAGAATTCAGAGAATGGTGTAGCCGAAGATGTAATGGCTGATGGAAACAAGGCATGACATCTTCTATATAAAGCTCAAATACTCTCTCTCTCTCTCGTGCACACACACACATGTGGGCATGTACCCACTTAATTTGTACCTTCTCTATTCTTCTGTAGGTTTGGTGAGAGTTTGAGGATTTTTTATCACCTCTGTTAAGAAGTTTTTACCTAAGCTAGCCTTTTAATGGTTTTTTATTCCTTAGAGGATAATGAGGAGCATTCTTCTTTGAAATTTGGCAGGTTGATCGAACTGAAAAAGTGATTTTGGATTCCAGAGAGAAGCTTGAGTTCTACCGTGACAAAATGCAGGAACTTGTGAGCATTTTCTTTTTCACTTTCTTTCCTGTTTTCTGGAGACACTTGTGCTTGGGGGTGAAAATCTCATTTTGATTAAACCTGTAGTAAAGTACCTTATCGTGGTTAAAGAATCAAGAACTAGAATGAATAGTTTAAGCGTGTGCATAATATCCTTTTTTAGGTTCTCTTTTTTATTCCTTATGTTCAGGTCCTGTATAAAAGCAGATGCGATAATAGACTAAATGAAATCACGGAAAGGGCAATTGCAGATAAGCGTGAGGTACTGCCTAAAATCTGAAGAAGTGTTTGTATCATTTATTTGGACATTATTTTATTGATTTCTGGCTAACAATTTGTTGCAGGCTGAAATGTTGGCAAAGAAATATGAAGAGAAATACAAACAAGTGGCAGAAATAGCTTCCAAATTAACAATTAAAGAGGCAAAATTTCGTGAGATTCAGGTAATTGTTATTTTTCCGTTTATGCATGAATGTCCTTGAGTTGGTTTGGGCTATTTGAGTGTTTTGGAACCCTTGAAAACTGTTGTATTGGTTTAACATCAGTTTGTTTTAAGAGGGTTTCTTCACATGAATTTTCCAGGATTGAAATATCTAGGTGTTGATTTCCTCGTCTTAGTGCCCGAGTGCCTGTTGAGGCATCATCTTTCGACGGGATAAGAGGAGATGAATTGTTAGTCTTTAAGCTTTGTTTCACATGTCTGTGCCTTTATTCACTTTTTCCCCCTTTATTTGCATCCTAAAATTATATCTCTGCGTTTCAGTCTATCATATCCTTCCATTCTTTCCTTAAATCGACCTATGGCTGCAATATTTTACCCACTAGCCATATATTACCATGTAATATGGAGGTCTTCATACCCCTTGCATGCCTTGCATGCCCCTTTTTCTTTATTTCACTTATGTATTTGTCTTGCTTTTAGGAGAGGAAGACAGAGTTGCATCATGCTATCGTTAACATGGAACAAGGGGGCAGTGCAGATGGTATTCTTCAGGTAAATTTAAACCAATCAACTAAATGTTTTGAGAGTGAGTACAATTTTCTGACACAGATGCATCGTCACTTACCTAGGTCCGCGCGGACCGAATACAATCGGATCTTGAGGAGCTAGTGAAAGCCCTGACTGAATGATGCAAGAATCATGGATGTGATGTGAAGTCATATGCAGTAATTGAGCTTCCCATAGGTGCCTTTTATCTTTTATTAATAAAGAAAGTTCTTCTTAATTTCTCGACTATCAGGAAGGAAATCTTTCTTCTTTCTTCTTTTTAGGCGTTAGTGAGAGAAGCTCCCCCTCTCTAAAAATCAGGCGTTTTCAAATATTTTCTTTCTTTTCCCTTTTTTATATCTCTTTGATGTCGAGTAAAGTGAGAAGATCGGTTCGGAAAAATTGCTTTACACTGATCATTTTCAATATCCCAAAGTATCTTCATTATCCCAAAGTATCTTCATCATCAAGGTCTTAGGTTATTTTTCGATAAATATGGCGATGTGGTTGATTCTTTCATCCCTTTTAAAAGAAGCATGGGAGGAAGTAGGTTTGGCTTTGTTCGCTTCACCAGAGTGGAGGATGCGAGGAAGGCTATCAACTGTGCTGATAGATCTTGGTTTCAAGGTTTTAAAATTAGAGTTTTCATGGCGAGATTTCAACCTCGTGAAAAATTCTGGAGAAAGAAGTTTTCTGGTCCAAAACCAGCCGAGGTCAAGAGCAAAGTGGAGGTTGATACTCATTCAAAGGCTCCCATAGTCGGTGTTGTTGATGAGGATAAGCTCTTAGCTCTCAAAAATAACTTGGTAGGTTGGTGCAAAAGTTTTTTAAAAATGAAAGAGTTGGCTACTCTTTTACATAAGGAAGGCGTGTTTGGTCCCAAAATTATGAGGTTAAGTGGTTTAGCAATTTTAATCATTTTTGAAGATGAAGAGAGTAGGGATTTTGCTCTTAATAATCAAATTGGGGCGTTGAGAAACTGCTTCGACAAAGTGAAAGTGTGGTCGGAAAAGTTTCAATGCAGCAGCCGTCAGGCATGGCTTTCGTGCAAAGGAATCCCTTCGTTTGTATGGAGCCATTCCACCTTCAGAAACATTGCTGGTAAATGGGGAGAACTTATCTCCATTGAAGAAGGGACCTTCAACCCCGGCTCGTTTGATAGAGCATTGCTGCAGATAACCACGAACTGCCAAGCTCGAGTGGAAGATTACTTAGATTTGAAAGTCGGGGATCAGATCTATACAGTTTATGTTTCTGAGTTTGAACCTTGATTTAGACCAGAATCTGTCTGGGTAGATTCACCCATGATGGAAAAGGTAGTTGCCTACCTGTTATCCACGGTGGGGGAACTCGATGGTGATTCGCCAGTGAAGATTTCCGAGGTGAAGGAATGTGCTGAGGAAGCAGGAAGAGGCATGGACTCTTCGGAGGTCAATAAGTCCAAGCGGTGTTCTGAGGAAAAAGATAATCTATTATGTTGTATGGGAAACAGAACTAGAGGCAACATCTTGTCAGGTGAGGTTGAGGAGGAAAGGAATATAGGGGAGGAATTATTTTCTGGACTGGGGATTATTGTTGCTGGTCAGGGGATGGCTCAATCGAAAATTGAGGAAGTAGGGGAACATGAGGATGTGCTGGTTCACGCAGAGAAACAGGCAGAAAATGACAAGAGGAAAAGTAGTGTCACTGCACGTGGTTTTGAGGGAATGAAGGATTATTCTATAGAATTCCCCATGTTGGATGGTAGGGTAGAGACAAAGGTAGTGGAGGAGGAGAATATTGTGGGCCTGACAAATAATTCTGCATTCACTAGTTCCAAGGGCGTGGACAGGCATAACCGGACAGCAAAGGATGGGAATAATAATAATTTAAGCTCTCTGCATTCAGCTCTAGGAAAACATTCGGCTCAACACTGGAAATCTAGAGAATGCCGTAGAAAGATTAATCACAGTAAGGTGCAGTGTGTGGAAGGAATGTCTGAACTTGAAGGTAGAATCCTTAATGATTCTGACTTTCATGCAAGGCGGCAGAGGCATAAGAAGGATGCGAAAGAATCCCTTCAGATCGGGGAAGATTCGGATTTTGAATCTAAAAGCTCACGAGTGTTCTTGATTTTGGAACATTTTAGCGATGGACGTATTGAAAGATACAATATGTGGTGATTTGTTTTCGGGGAATCGAAGTTGATTTTGGATTTTGGAGCTGGAGTTTCGGTTGGTCACTGATGTCATGTACAGTATTAGGTGCAGAATGGTTTTATTGTCCGAATTTGGCTTTTATGGTTTGTGTCAGCTGTTATGTGGCTTTTCTATAGTTGTTCTGTGTTGTGCTGTGTTTCGGGCCAAGTTCTGGTTATCCTCTTGGAGTTGTTGTAGCTGAGGTGATTAGGCAGTTAGTGTTGTTGTGAAGGGTTGTTTTTGGTTGTTTTCTGGTTCTTTGTTTTTGGTGGGGGTTCTATAAGTTTGTATCTTATGTAATTTCTTTTGTTTAATGAAATCTTAAGGCACTCTTTTCCTCCTTCCTCTGATTAAGGAGCTTGTCTACAAGCTTCTTTAATCAAGAAGGGGGGTTTTAACGAGGCCTTCAATTCCTATAAAAAAAAGTTCTTCCTCATAACTTCAATTTGAGTAAAGACTTGTAGTGTAGTATGATATTCTTACTATCATGTTTGGTATTCTTGCATTTTTACTTTTTGATCCAGCTTCTTGAAAGCTGAACCTTATTTAAGTTCAATGCTTCCTTTCAAAAGTTATTAAGCTCGGTAAATTCTGTGGAGATATTACTTTATTTGAGCATGTTTATGATTGAGTTTTGGGATCTAGCTTTTGTGGTTTCTATGGTTATGTCAAGATATATTGTTTCATGGTCCCTTAATTTCTATTTTTGTCTTTGTTCTGTGGGCTGTGGACTATACATGCTGACTCCCCCAATGACAGTCCTATGATTTTTTTTTTTTGCTTTTCCATTTTGAGCTGTCTGAGTCCTAATTGAAATGTTACCATTGGAGAAAGTCAAATTATTTTCAGTCTTAGAACTTTCCAAACTTACCTTCCTCAGAATGAGTTGACAACAATAGGGTCTATTAAACAAACATTTTAACACTGTTTTCCATGTTACTACTTTTCCTTTTGACTTCCCAAAACACGTGTTTAGTTGAAAAGTGGCAACAAAAACGGGTGACAGATCACATCATTTATACCTTTCAGAACTCTGGAGCCTAAAGTTCTATACTCTGGTTGCTAATGCCTGTTCAGATTTTCTTTTGGCATGGAACCGTAATTTCATTTTCTTTTTTGTTATGATCTGTAAGAACCCTTTTAGTCACTTTGGTAGCAGGAAGAGACTTTGATGTTTGTTAATTGTTATAACTATTATCTTTGGAATGTTTACGGAATGACCCTTCAGTTTTTGGTTTTGTTATTTTTTTTTAAAAAAAATAGACTGTCATCTACTAATTAGTGATCATTTTGGCCTTTTCATATGCACCGTGTTTTTAAGGTTGGCAACCTGGAGTTCCAGAGGGAGCCGCACTCTGGGACGAAGAGTGGGACAAGTTTGAAGATGAAGGTATATACTTCCTTCGATTACTGTTTTAGGATTCTGCAAATGAAGTTCTGCTTAGGTTGACAGGGTTCTGTAACAATTTGTGTGGCTTTTCACTTCAAATTTCAGGGTTTGGCAATGAGCTCACTGTCGATGTGAAAAATGTGTCCGAGTCTCAGAGAGGAAAAGCATCTCCAGATGGTAGCTTGACCCCTGATTCCTCCTATGTGGATGGACAAACAGGAAATCTCTTCGGTGCTGAACGTGCTGTTGAGAGCGAGTCTGCATACACACACAGTGAAGATGAATCTGCCAGAAGTCCTCATGGTAGTCCTGTGGAAAGAAACTCTCTAGAAAGCCCATCTCGACTATTTTCTGATGACCATTTTGGAAAGAGTACTGAAGCAGGTTCAGAAAGAAACCGGTATGGATGTATAGAATTTTAAGTTTTGAAACTGACTATTGTTCTCCTTTGTTCTTGCTAAATTCCTTTATTTTTTTTTATTTTGGACAGAAGTTTTGATGAATCAGGATGGGGTACCTTCGATAATGATGATACGGACTCTGTGTGGGGATTTAATGCTGTTAATACCAAGGTGACTGAACTTCTTAAAGCACACTTCTCTTTTCAGGTTACAAGGATATGGTATATTTGCCATTTATGTACAATGCTGACTCAAATGGTATATACTTTGTATGGTGGTGATAGTGTAAAAATAGTATATAGTTTGAGATATCTTAATATTCCGTGAAGTTTTATGTTAAAATGTAACATGGCCGAAAGCTGGTGTTTAGGGCTGTCGGTCACAAGGCAGAAACCCTCAACAAACTCTGTTTCTTATGTGCTTATGATGATCCTTTTCTCGGTCTGATGTATTGAAATATTTTTATTCTCGATCTTTAATGTCACCTGGCAGGACTCGGACAAGCACAGAGACTTTTTCGGATCAAGTGATTTTGGTGTCCACACAAGAACAGAATCCCCGCGTGCAGATAGCTTTTATGATAAGAAGAGTCCATTTACATTTGAAGACTCGGTTCCCAGCACTCCGGCCTCCAAGTTTGGGAACTCTTCATCAATGGATTTTGACAGTTTCTCAAGGTTTGATTCCTTCAGCATGCATGACGGTGGTTTTTCAACACAACCCGATAGGCTCACAAGGTTCGACTCCATAAACAGTAGCAAAGACTTTGGCAGTGGGTTCTCACGGCAACCTGAGACGCTCACTAGGTTCGATTCCATGAATAGCAGCAAAGACTTTGGCCATGGATACTCATTTGATGACTCCGATCTGTTCGGCTCCAGTCGGCCATTTAAAGTCTCGTCGGACCAACATAGTCCGAAGAAAGATTGCGATGATTGGCGTGCTTTCTAGCTGGTAATCCAAAAGAGAAGTAATTTTCCCTGGGGCTCTTCTGTTCATTTTGGTGTTTTTGTTGAGGTGCCTACATTTTACTATGTGTCGTTGTGTGCAGCTTGGAATTGGATTGTTGTAAATTTCTGCTGTATTTTTTTATGGCGACATTTTTTTGAGGGTGTTGGCATGCCAAAATTGTGATGGGAAAATAATGAAAAATCAATACGCTGTTCCTGAAAACATTTTCTGCTTTTATTTTCTAAAAATGGAGAAGTGTCTTTGATAAATTTAAAAATTATTTATTTTCTTATAAAATGAAATAAAAGAATTTCATATATTTATATGGATTCAAATCAAAGTCATGTTTAATGTATAAAAAGTATTAAAAAACTAATATATCCGAACTTGAGTGTTTCATTTATCAAGTTAAGAAAAACTTTGCTTTTATTCTTTTAATTTGAAAATAATATTTTTTTTTTAATTTTAATATATTTTTGTTTTAAAAAATTTAATCAAAACCATTTTCTTCGATGTTTCTTTTTTAAATGAAAAATAAAAATAATGTATTTCTTCGAGTCCAAAAATTTTCTAGTTAAATCTGCCGCTTCTCATTTAAGTTGCAGAATGGGTTTGCTTTGGAATCTTCTTTTGCCGGCTGCCTTGTCCTGCACTATTAATTTATTATTTTGTTGGATTGAATTGCACCTGACATTCATTACTATAATCTAAATTAGTTCTCAAAGTATTTTAATTAAGTCCGCCGATCATTAAATATTGTTTCAGTAAAGTTCTCCGATTAGTCTAAGGTAGTGTTTATTTTTACAGAGATAAAAGATATGCAGTAGAAGAGGTGGACCAAATGTCTGCAGTCTGCAAGAAGACTGTTTGTTTTTTAACGTCTGCAGACTGCTAAAATGAACTGAAATATAAATAAACTGATTTTTTAAACTTAAAAGCGTTTTGCAATACTGAGATTTAAATAATTTTAGTTTTACAATGCTGAAATTTAAATAATTCATACAACTACAATAATAATTTATTTAAAATAAATCAATCCATATTTTAAAATAAATCAATTCATACAACTACAATAATAAATTAATTCATATTTTAAAATAAATCAATCTATACAAATAAATTATTTAAAATAAATCAATCCATACTAATAAATTATTTAAAATAAATCAATCTATATTTTAAAATAAATCAATCCATACTAATAAATTATTTAAAATAAATCAATCCATATTTTAAAATAAATCAATCCATACTAATAAATTATTTAAAATAAATCAATCCATATTTTAAAATAAATCAATCCATACTAATAAATTATTTAAAATAAATCAATCGATACAACTACAATAATAAATCAATCCATATTTTAAAATAAATCAATCCATACTAATAAATTATTTAAAATAAATCAATCCATACTAATAAATTATTTAAAATAAATCAATCCATATTTTAAAATAAATCAATCTATACTAATAAATTAGTTAAAATATATCAATCGATATTTTAAAATAAATCAATCTATACAACTACAATAATAAATCAATTCATATTTTAAAATAACTCAATCCATACTAATAAATTATTTAAAATAAATCAATCCATACTTTAAAATAAATCAATCCATACTAATAAATTATTTAAAATAAATTATTTTAAAATAAATCAATCCATATTTTATAATAATTTATTTTAAAATAAATTATTTTATAATAAATTGTTTCAAAATAAATTGTTTTATAATAAATTATTTTAAAATAAATTATTTTAAATAAATAACCTTATTAAATTATTTAAAATTATTTTAATAAATAACTATATTTTATAATTGTTTTTGAAGAGGTTTGAAGACCTTTGAAGACATAAAACCAAGTCTGCACCAAGAAGAGCTCGCGCAGACGATTGAAGAGCTTCTGTCTTCTAAAAAACAAACAGTCTGCGAAGCCTAATGTCTGCGCGTGGTCTGCGCGACGCAGACATAAGTGGTTTGAAGAGCTTCCACAGTGAAAACAAACACCACCTAAGTCATTTGTTTTATAATTACTTTCGGTAAAAATGATTTTTTTTTAAAATTTGAGTTTAAACAATTATATTTATATAATATATGTGTAATATTAATATATTAAAAAAAGTTTAAATAAATATTATCTTGGAATTATTATATATTATTAAACATATATATAGATATAATATAATCGATTATCACTAAAATCATATAATAGATGTATCATATTTAAATTTTGATTCACACATTTTAAATTTATTGTGATTAAAGATATTGTTTTTATGATGTATTTTTATAATTTTTAATTTAAATTAATTGATATATAAATTAAATATTAATAATTAAATAAACAATCATTAATCAATTAATTTAAACATAAAATACTGTTTTTTTTTATTTTATCATCCTAGATATTGTATATAAAATCGTGAAAGACAAGTTTAATGTTTTAATATAAATGAAATAACAAAAGGATTACAATGTGTTATAAATTATAATTATTTATAACACATATTTTTCAAGTTTCATTTTGGTTGGAGCAGTGAGTGGGGTAACCGCGGGGTGCATGATGAGTTGGTGCCTCCGCTTTCTTTCTCATTTGACAGATGAGATGAGAAGATGACTGCTCTCTACTAATTTTATTTTGGTCAACTTTTCTATTTTCCAACTCTTAAATCTCTCTTCTTTTTTATTTGTATTTTTTAAATTTAGTTTAGTTTAATTTGATTTTCTCCACTGCTTCTTTCATTTCTTCCTATCGTTTGTTTTCTTCTCAACTCCATCATCACTTTCTCAAGACATCGAAGGAACCAAACCCTAATTCAAGTTCCTTCGAAATTCCCCAATTTCAGTCGTTTCATGCAAGTCAAACAACATATGGGAGCAATACACTTCGCCCCTTTAATCCAGCTTCAATTTTTCTTCGATTCTTCGAGCTACAACTAGAACTTTTTATCCACCACATCCTTCATATTCCTTTGTTTCTTCAAGATCAACAGGGTATGATTCTTTTCCCCCTTTCTTTAATCAGCTGTGAATTGCAGCAAGTTGCTACCTTGCTAATCTAAAGTTTCTACTTTTTTTTTATTTGGTTGGGGTGAAGTTATTGCCAAGTTCGATTTGCTAGATTTTAACAACTTGCAGTTATATTCTTATCTAAATTCATTGCTTACTCGAGGTAATTAAGATATGTAATTTGAGCTTCTGGATTCTCTTTACCGTATGCTTTATTTCCCGTGTCTTAATTCTGCTGCAACCATTTATGGTGAAGCACGTAGGTGTTAGTTGTGAATTGGAATCGTGGATAACTTTTTCATATCAATGCTTAGCGTTGTTAATGGTCACATTGTTGCTCCTTGATTTCTTGTTGAGCCCTTGAACTTTGATTTTGCTGTTTATAATTGTTTCCTGCCTGCCTTCTAATGATTTCTGGACAACTATTTAGTGTTTAGTTTGAAATTTCTCCTAGTGTTCTGCATCACTTTGGCAAGCTAATGCAGGGTTAAATTTGGAATCATGTGTCTTTTTTCATATCAAGATAGTAGCTCACTGATTTTGGGAGAGCCGAGATTAGACTAAATTTTTTTTAAAGGGCTTAAATTAAATAAATGATTTTTAGGAGGGTCAAGCGTGTGATTTTTCCACTTAGCTAAAGGGTTAAAAGGCCTAAATTAAATGTTCAATATTTGGGAGGGACGGAAAAGTGAAAATTGCTAAGCGCGCCCTGCTTCATCTCTGTTGGCAAAGCTAATTGAGGGTTAAACTGGAATCATGTATGTCATACTGTCAATTTTCATACCAAAGCATAGCATATGTTATGGTCATGTAGTAGCTCCTTGATTTTGGTTGGACCCTTGGACTTTCGTTTTGCTGTCTTTAATTATTTCCTGTTTGCCTTCTAACAGTTGTTATCTCAATGGTTATTCCAATTGCTTTTGTCTCTATAAATAGTGCAAGTTTCTAATAAGCTGATTATTTGTTAAGCAAATATACATTTTCCTCCCTTTTTTTGCAGTGACTATATAAGTCAGATGGCTGCGAGCTGGGATGGAAGTTATGACCCTGGCAGTCAGTCAGATGATAGTCATAATTTTGAGAGGCTGCACATAGAACCCCTTTATGATGCATTTGTTTGCCCATTGACGAAGCAAGTTATGCGTGACCCTGTGACATTAGAAAATGGCCAAACATTTGAACGTGAAGCAATTGAGAAATGGTTCAAGGAATGCAGGGAAAGTGGAAGAAAGCTGGTTTGCCCATTGACCCTAAAAGAACTGAAAAGCACCAATCTAAACCCGAGTATTGCATTGCGGAATACCATTGAAGAGTGGACAACTAGGAATGAAGCAGCCCAGCTTGATATGGCTCGTAGATCTCTAAATATGAACAGTTCAGAAAATGATGTTCTGCTGTCTCTTAAGTTTATCCAGCATATCTGCCAAAAAAGTCGATCCAATAAGCATGTTGTACGCAATGCTGAACTGATACCTATGATTGTGGACATGCTAAAGAGCAGCAGCCGAAAGGTTCGGTGCAGAGCATTGGAGACGCTCCTCGTAGTGGTCGAGGAAGATGAAGATAATAAGGTTGTTCTGGGTTTGATGTTTTCCTATTGAGTGACAATGACATCATTGTCGTGTATGCATCCAGGACTGGATTATTAACTACTTGTGCATTATTTTTCAGGCAATATTGGCTGAGGGGGACACTGTGCGTACAATAGTTAAATTCTTGTCCCATGAACAGTCCAAGGAGAGGGAGGAGGCAGTCTCTCTGCTGTATGAACTTTCAAAATCTGAAGCCGTGTGTGAGAAGATTGGTTCTATTAATGGAGCAATTCTTATATTAGTTGGAATGACCAGCAGTAAATCTGAGAACGTTTTAACTGTTGAGAAAGCTGATAAAACACTAGAAAATTTGGAAAAGTTTGAGAACAATGTCCGACAGATGGCTGAAAATGGTAGACTGCAGCCTCTTTTGACCCAGATTCTTGAAGGTGCTTCTCTTTTTCCTTGATAATTTTATGTTTTCCTACTTTCTGCCAGCATAAAGGGCCTCTGTTTTTTGGGGTGGAGTCATGTACGGTTTTGTCAGTTGAGTGTGGGCTCTTTTAGATAACAATGATTGCCTCTAGCTATGTTGCTTGGACTCTTCATTTCTCATGAAGTATCCGTGTTTGACACTCGTGTCCAATACTTGGATTTGGGGATATGGCCTCTAATGGTCCTTCAAATATATAGAAAAAACTTCGAAAAATCTAGTCATAGCCGTGTCCGACACTTACACCCGAGTCCGAGTAACATAGGCCTCTAGTGTTCATACATAGTCCTTAGTCCATTTGTCCTAACCCTGAAACTTGCTAGTTTTTTCTTTCATCTCTTAATTTTTCATTCTAATCACGTTCGTTGCTGCTACTCTATAATTTATGTAAAATGACATTGTTGCAGGCACGCCTGAAACAAAGCAATCCATGGCCGCTTATCTTGGTGAGTTGGTTTTGAATAATGATGTGAAAGTCTATGTTGCAAGAACCGTTGGTGAATCTCTAATAAATCTCATGAAAAGTGGAAACATGCAATCAAGAGAAGTTGCTCTGAAGGCACTTAACCAGATTTCATCTTATGAGGCAAGCTCCAAGGTGTTGATCGAGGCAGGAATACTTCCCCCTCTTGTCAAAGACCTCTTTACCGTAGGGGCCAATCAGCTTCCCATGCGACTTAAAGAAGTCTCGGCCACAATTCTGTCTAATGTCGTAAACTCGGGATATGATGTTGACTCCATTCCTATTGGGCCGGACCATCAGACTCTTGTTTCTGAAGACAATGTCCATAACTTACTGCATCTAATCAGCAACACTGGTCCACCTATTGAGTGCAAACTTCTTCAAGTTCTTGTGGGGCTCACCAGTTCTCCGACAACAACTCTGAATGTTGTTGCTGCAATTAAAAGCTCTGGAGCTACTATCAGTTTGGTTCAGTTTATAGAGGTTCCGCAGCAGGATTTGCGAATGGCGTGCATAAAACTTCTCCAGAATCTCTCTCCTTACATGGGTCAGGAATTAGCAGATGCACTACGTGGCACAGTTGGTCAGCTCAGCAGTCTAATCAGAGTCATATCAGAAAACACAGGAATTTCCGAAGAACAGGCAGCGGCTGCCGGCCTCTTAGCTGAACTCCCGGAGAGGGATTTGGGCCTCACAAGGCAAATGCTTGACGAAGGTGCTTTTCAGTTGATCATCTCTAGAGTTGTCAAGATCAGGCAAGGAGAGACTAGGGGCACCCGCTTTGTAACACCAGTCCTCAAAGGACTTGTTCGGGTGCTTGCAAGGGTTACTTTTGTCTTGTCAGAGGAACCCGACTCTGTTGCTCTTTGCCGTGAGTACAATCTTGCAGCATTATTCATTGAATTGCTTCAGGCCAATGGTCTCGACAACGTCCAGATGGTCTCCGCCACGGCTTTGGAGAACTTATCTCAAGAATCCAAAAATTTGACAAGACTGCCGGAGTTGCCACCTCCAGGGGTTTGTGCTTCTATCTTTCCATGTTTCAGCAAACAGGTTTTCATAACGGGATTGTGTCGCGTCCACCAGGGAACATGTTCACTTAAAGAGAGCTTTTGCCTTTTGGAAGGACAGGCTGTACATAAGTTGGTTGCTCTCTTGGATCACACCAATGCGAAGGTGGTCGAAGCAGCACTTGCTGCACTTTCCACCTTGTTGGATGACGGAGTTGCTATCGAGCAAGGAGTGTTCGTTTTGTGTGAGGCAGAAGCAATTAAGCCCATACTCGACGTGTTACTCGAGAAACAAACAGAGAACTTAAGGAGAAGAGCCGTTTGGGTCGTAGAGAGACTTTTAAGAACCGAAGATATAGCCTATGAAGTTTCTGGAGATCAAAATGTCAGCACTGCACTTGTTGATGCCTTCCACCATGCCGACTACAGAACCCGACAGATTGCCGAGCGTGCCCTGAAGCATGTCGACAAAATCCCAAACTTCTCCGGAATTTTTCCAGACATGTCATAAATTTGTTGTATTGCTCCTTATGCATTATATGGAGAGTAGCAACGTGTATGTATTTTCAGTTTCATCCTTTGTCTCTCTACATGGATAGTTTTGCAAGTAGATATTATTGTATATTGATGGATTTCCTACTTGTAGAGGGTTTCAAGAAAATTTTCATTTGTTTTTATGTTATTTTCATTTACCTCCTTTATACGAACTACTATTTGTCTTACAATTTAATGCTGCAGCCCTTTAGTTTTTTTATTGCCTTCTAAAGTTCCTTGATCATCCAAAATTCTCTGCTTCGAACAATACCGGGATAGCCTGCCGGTAATCGACTGCGGCGTCTACAACCATTTTTCATTTTCATTTAACACCTGGAGCCTAGTGGTATAATAATGAGCTCTTCAAGACGTTCAAGCAAGTTAATGAATAAACATGGCAGAAATTTATTACATATGCAACAGAAGCAAGATGAAAAATACATAATCCGTTTATGAACAATGGTGAAGAAATTACTGAGAAGACTACAAATGACCATAACTGTGCTAACACTGAATGAACACTACAGACCAGATGTGGTCGCCATTGTAAAAAATTGTGGAGAATCAACGAAATAAATACGAAAAATTCACAGGTCGAAAGAAACGTAAGCACAAAATACCCGAACGAGCAACTGTGATGTTCTATGATTTTCCGATGGAATTACAGTGTTTTGCAGAAGACATTACAGGTGTAGAACCGCCATTGTCTTGGTCAAGCAAGAAGAAGCATCTAATTCATGAGCCACGTTGTTCCTAGAAATATGGCTCCAACTCATCTCCGTATTAGACACATCACACACAGTGAAGAAATCCAATACCTGACCAAATATTTTAAACATTTCAACCCCAAATATTAAGTCCTTGTCGGCGACAAAAACAGGGTTCCAGTCCATTGGAGCATCAGGGTGCATCGAGACCTTGGTCCATGTAAGATACATCATATCTAGCTCCCACACTTTTCTCACCGCCTTGTTTCTCCGACCAATTTGCCCATCTCCCTCACACCAAGAGACAGACAGCAGAAACAACCGACCATTACAAGAAACAAGTTTTGGATAGTATTCATGAACATGAGGAGGAAATTTGGAGGTTTGGATTCCAATCCAGAAGCCTCTTTCTATGTCATAATAGGCTAACTTGTCATTCTCGGAGCAAACATAGAACATCCCATTACAAACAACCCCAGAGCAAAATACACCAAAGTCTATAGGCAGCTTTTGGATTTCAGTCCATTTATTTGATACAGAATCATAGATTTCACCAGAATTCAGTGGCTCATCCCAAGATCCAAGACCTCCAACAGCAATCAACACGAATCTTTTACAACCCTTCGTATTTGGTTGTTCACTTCTCTGTTTGATGAACTTGTATGATTTTCTATTTGGTAATGATGAAGGCTCATTTACATCGAAAGCATTTCCGTACTGACGTCTGAGTGAAAGCCTGTGAGGATCCTCATAAACATCTGACACCCCACCAACTCGTGATCTGGGAGACTGCCTCTCATGTCGATTCTGATGGCTTTGATTGATCGAGAAATCTGAACAGACCTCGGATACTCCTAAAATAGGCATTGATCTAGCATACCTCATAGATGAAGCTTTGCGCCAAGATTTGGTGAGAGGGCTAAAGACCAATACACCTTTGTGCGTCTTGAATGAGCTCCTATCCACTCTCCCAAAGTTGGTTAGGCTTGAACAACCTCCAACAATATAAACATCATCCTGCATACTGGCAATTGAGAACATGAACCTTCCTCTTAGGATATCAGCACCAATCCTATGCCATTGATCTTGAGATACATCCAGTGCATGTATCTCCCCAGAGCAATAGCCATCTTTAACAGCACCGAAGAGAAACAACCATGGTTTTTGACATGAACCTTCTCGTCTCATCTGCAAAAACCTGGGAGTTGTAGTCAAATTTCTCCATTTCTTGCACACTAGGCGGGCATTCATAAGGCTGGTCAATGGTAGTCTCACCAAGCACATCTCAAGAATGTCATCTGGAAGATAGATATGCATCTTGCCGATTCGTACCGACTCCTCAAGATCTAAATCCTTTCTATTGCTTTTCTTCCAAAACTTCTCCCTCATGCCATATGAGAAGCAATCGAAACTATTATCCTCAATACCACAAATTGATTTGCACGCCTTTCCTTCTTCACTAGTACTTGACCTTCTCCAACTTGGATCACCAAACTCCTCACCAGTGTCAGCACCGACTTTGCAACCACCACCTCTACCATATAGAGTAAGACATTTCAAAGAAACCCCTCTCACCTTATCCTCTTCATCCCCTTCAGCTCTATGGGTTTTTTTCCTCAACTTCTGGCTAACACTCCTCACAAGCCGTTTAGACACAGTTAGAGACTCAAAATCCCAACGAAGTGATTCCTCAATCGCATCCTCAGCAAACATTATGGTCTCCAACTCTGGGTATGCAAAGGTGCACACCCATTTCTATATTTCTGGCTGCATTTTGGTTACTTAAACCCTTGCATCTACCGGGGGGGGGGAGACAACCTGCTGAGATTGCAGCCAGACAAACACATACAAAGGGGAAGCAAGTATTAGCATAGAACATTAGAGCTATGAAAAATCAATACTAAAACAATAAACGGTGAAACCTTGCCTTAATGAGATAACAAAGAGTCAAAGAAGACAAATATCATAATATTGAATGCAAAGACAATACAGTGAGTGTGATTAAGAGAGCTTCTAAAAAGAATAAAAAAGAAGGCAATGTAAGACGAAAGCAAATCGAAATTAATGACGTAAAAGCAAAACAATAACAACAATGAATATCGTTACATTTTATTACTTCCAGAAAATACATGCCGATTGCCGACAGCAGTAAATTAAGTATAATTCAGCTAAAATCAACGTTTTCGCAGGAATAAATTCTCGTCTACAGATCCATATACTCCAGTTTAGAAAAATAGAGAGATTCACAGCACTCGTTTGAATCAGATCCTAATGAGATCGTCAGATTTCCTTTCCATTTTCGTTTCAAAGTAAATTAATGGCACTAATTTACTCAACAAATGAATTAAAATATGAAAGATTAATTTCTCATAAATCTAAATTCTTAAAAAAAAAGTAAAACAAAAAAACACTCGAGAAAAACTTACATTGCAGCAACAAAAAATCTAGGGTTGAAATCAACAAAAGAAGCAGGAAGACAGATGAAAAATAATTAAGCAGACAGGGATCGATTATTAGAATCCATGAAAAAATTAATTAACAAAAATGAGTGTTTGGTTGATAAAGCGACTCGGTACTGATTGAGAAAAAGCGACACATCAACTCATCTCAACTCAAAAAAAAAAAACTCGACTCATCTCTTAGCTTTACCTTTTGGCCATTATCTGCCTTTCTCTTCCATTTTCTTTGTATGCATTTCCAGCCTCCTGTGAAGCTTCCATCTTTATATTATAGGCCATGCTTTTCACAATTTTTATTATCGTGCAAGCCAATATATTCACAGCCGTCGATCACTTTGGCACCAACTTCGAAGATCCGCTTCAGTGGGCTCGGCTCTCGCTGATCTAACGGCTGTGATGTTTCCAAACGTCACAGACAGTGATATTTTCATTTCTTCTTTTTTCTTAAATAATTTTGAAAGGCTGGTCTAATTTGGCTTTAATCCCTCTACTATACTGGTAAATTTGAATTTAATTTTTTTACTTTAATTTGAAATAATATGATGTTTTACTTTTATAAGTTATTAAAGGTGTAAACTAATAATATCGTTAGTTGTTTTTGATAAAGTGAATTCTTTTATTATTATTTGAGTACATAATTAAGATATAATAAAAATCCAATCAATTTTATTTAATTAATAATAATTTTTATTTATCATTCAAATATTTAAAAATATATTTTATTAAATTAAGAAATCAATAGAATTATTGATTAAAACAAACTAGTAAATTATAGATAAATGATATTCGAAGAATATTTATAATTCATTTAAAATAATAAATAAAGACATCAAATTATATGAAATTAAAATAAAAATTAAAACTAGTATTATTAAAATAAAGGTCAAATTCTTCTACAAGTATTTGTGCTATTGGTAACTTTTTTTAGGTTAATTTTAAATTTTATTACCTAAAATGAACCAACTAATCGCACACCAGCCAGCAATAGAACCAAGCAAAGGAATAGCATTCTCTCTTGATTTGAGCATTTTCCTCACGCACCAGCTAAAATGAACTTCTAGATTTAGTGCATGTATTATAGTTTGGTCATTTTTAGAATTTTTACTTTTAAAAAATGATTTTGAATCAAATCATGTGTAAAATTTATTAAGTCAAATTCTATTACAAATCTTAATATTATGTGTAAATTGTAAATCTAATAAACGTTTTTCAATTTGATTGTGTTTAGTTAATGTAATTTAGTTCATATTGTGTCCGTAAATTGTACCATTTGATTTGGAATAAAAATTAAATCCTGAAAATTAAAATTTAAAAATTGATTAAACTGAAATATATAGGCTAAATATATAAGTTACACGTGGTATAGAAATTAATAAACACAAATTGATATAAAACAAAAGTGCTGAATTATATCAAATTAAAGGAAAAAATTAAAGCTCAAATTCGGAGGGAGTAGAGTCGAAATAAAACCTAAAAAGTTAAAATAAAATAAAATAAAATAAAAGATTGGTTGGGTTTAATTACGGTGCGTTGGATGATAATAGACGTATCATATGGGTTCAGTTTTGGAGCAGTGGCCAGTGAGTGGGTGACGCAGCGAAATGCTCGGCGTGAGAGTGGCCGTGTCTGTTTCCGGGGGAGTTAGATGTCTGGACCCTACCTCCATGGTCCAACTATGAATACAACTTTTATTTCCCCCTTTTTTTTTATTTTTTTTATTTAATCATTTTGTATATGATATATTGATTTACATCGAATATTATAAAGGTTTATTGTAAAAATGATCCTCCCAACTCAATTTATTTCATTCACAAAAATAATTTTAACTTTCCAAAGATTATTATTAGATGTGAGCCTCGACTCGAAAAACTAAATTTTTTTACTCAACTCGTACTTTTATAAATTTGATTCAATTAAAAAAATTCAAATAAAGTTTGAGTTATAAAATGTGATTAGAATAACTCAAATCTTTTAGTGATTAGTAAAATAATTTTCATGTTAGAGTTGAGTCTCTCAATTCTACATGATGTATGTATATAACATATATTAGATTATAATCAATTAGTATTATAATATTATAATTATTTACAATTAAATTTAAACATAAACTCAAACAATTAAACTCCAATTTCACAAATTCGACTAGAGTTAAAAAATGTTCAAATAAAATTTAATTTATAAAATAAAACTTGACTAACTTAATTTTTTTAACTCAAATTAACTCGATCAAACACTCATCTCTAAATATTATTATTAATAGTTGTTTAAACATCGCGTCTATTTATAAATATATCTTTGAGTTATTATTATTATTTTATTATTTTTGAATTTAATATTTTTTATTTTTAACTCTTTTAGTTATATATTACTAATTTTTTTAATAAATGATATAAGTATAAAAATAACATATCAATAAAATAATAAAATTGTAATTTAAAAATTAACGTTGACACACAAATTAAGTGATTTAATTGTTAAGAGATTTATTATTATCCCTTGAAGTTTCGGATCCAAGCACCACATATATAAGAGTATGAGCGTTTCTTGACAAATAATTGAGAGTTTTTGAACATATATCACATTGTATTCACCTTAATTTTTTTTAATAACATCGACAAAATTTAAGTATCAAATTAAGAAGGAAATTTACATAGTTCACGATGTAAAAGATGATTTATGGAAAGTTTAACTTGGAGTTTGATGATTATAAGATATTGTTTGTTTAGAATTTTTTTAGTTTGATGCAATTACTTAAATTCAAGAGCTATAGTACAAATAACACTTCTTTTTTCATTGAAACCTATCAATAAATTCAAAATATAATATATTTTAAAAAATAGATGTTAAGTTGGATGTCGGATAGATTTATTTATTTACTAACTTTTTAATACAATAATATATATTTCATTCATTGATGAACTATTTTAAATAATATATTATATAAATATATTATAATACGAATATATAATAATCTCATTCTGATTTATTTTATTCACGAAATCAAATTTATAAAAAAATAATATTAACTTCATCTTCCAAAATATTGACTTTCAACTCTCAATTTAAATCCAACCCACGACCGGATCCCGGTACCTACTGAAACAAAACTACGCTAGGCCCGACCCGGATCTAGCTCCTCAAATTAAGTAGCTCAACGATCACGAATTCGCGATTAGCGTGCCCAAAGAAAATTCGAGAACATTGACCGAGACTGGAGATGGCAGCTTCTACGTTATGGCTCCTTTCCATCTTCTCCATTTTGTCCATTGCTGCTTGCATCCACGACAAATGTGCTGCTTGCAATGCCGTCGCGGTAATAATGGAAATCGTTGATGAACACAAATGTTGTTTCACTCACTGTCAAAATTACCTATTTTTCAAAATATCAGCTGATTTTTGTTTCGTTGGATGATTCGCAGGCAGAGCTAGAGATTCAACTGTCTAAGGTAAGGACTACGGGCTTCTCTTCTATTTACATTTGCCTTTAAATCACTGCCACTCTCGGCAAATTGAGCTATAATTTGGTACTTAAATCGATAATTTATATATATGTAGGAAAAACCGAGGAATCATTTGGATATGAGACATCGTTTGGACTCGAAAGGTCAACGCCAAGGAAAGGTTATTGATTACAGGTATAATATAACAATTTTCCTGGAAAAAAGCCAACATTGCTAATGTTCATGCGGCTCGTTAGTCTCGATCAAAATTCTTTATTTTAGAAATTGAATTAAAACAGCTTCCTGTTTTTCTTTGATGCTGGGTGTAGTGTTGAAGATCAATTACGAACAGTATGGAAGAGTAGGAATAAAAAATTAGTGAAAGATCAAACATGGTAGTAAAAGGAAGCATTAGAAAGTGAGACATTGATCAATGCATAGACATTCATCATATATCTGTTCAGAATTTTCTTAGCCATTGACAATGCACACATCTTGTAGAGGGGAATTTTTGACTGAGGCCGCTCAATGGGTTCTCATATAGCTAACCTTAACAAGAGCCCTAACGGCAGTTTTTAGCAAACTCTAACACAAAATAATGACTCTTTGCCATATTATAAACAATGAGTTTCAAAAGGGAATTTTCGACTAAAGCTTGGCTAATTGATAGGTGGCAGATATATACTGCTACTTACGCCCTTGTGATTGATGGAGATTGCATGGTTACAGCAAGAAAGGATGTTTACTTTTCATCTATGGTTTATTCCCCTGTATACGTGATACCTTTGCTAAAATTGTCTCTCTTTTTAAATTAGGATGAGTGAGCTTAGGGCTGTTGAACTATTGGATGGGCTTTGTGAAAATATGCAAGATTACACACTTGAAAAGGTAGTTCTTACTTGGACTCTTTATCTTGCGTTTATTTATAGGAGAATTCATATTTAAACATGATGTTATGTTTTCCTTGAAGTTTAACTGAATATTTATTTGAATACCTTGTAGCAACTATGTTGTCAATATAACTATTATCGTTTGGTAACAGATAATGAACTTGTGGCAGCATTGACAAAATATGCAAATGTGTAGGAATCACAACTATATTCATATATAGACTGTTCAGATTCTCTGATATCTGTTTTTATATTTGAGTATGCTTTATGACAGAGCTCAATCATCTAGGTATGCAAGTACATGTTATTTCATCCGTTTTTCACTTTGCAGATAGATTCATCTCGACGTGAGTGGATCAAAGTGGATAACTGGGACATTCTCACTATTGGTATGGGCCATTTTATTATTATTATTATTATTATTATTATTATTATTATTATTATTATTATTATTATTATTATTATTATTGAGGGTGGGGAACAGTGGCAAGTATTAATAATCTAATTATGGTTGTTACTTCGTAAAACTGGCAGGAGAAGACCTTGATCAATCATAACCACTATCAGAGACTGAAATCATATGTTTCACTGCAAATGTGATTAGTCCATCAATCTGATTTTGGGCTAAAATTTTCAAGAACTTATCTCTGATTCATACATTTGTATATATTGTTAAAATATATGAGGCATAAGTTGCATGTGCGTATGCCATCTCTCCGATGGTTCTGCTTGATATCTCTAGGATTTCTGTACTTCCTAACCATTTACTGAGCCATTGTTTTATATACTTTCATGTTACTGGTTACCTCTATGTTTACCATGTTCTTAGAGATGCTGTTAATTTGTAGTTCCTTTTGTTTCGATTGTCCATTGTTTCTTAAGTTCTAAAGTA